CCCGGTGGGTGAGGGTCGTGGGCAAGAGGCTTGGGGTACCAGGGTTACAGACCCAAGAAGCCGAAGGGGGGGTGGGGCGTGCGCGACAAGGTGGGGGTGGGTGGCTCCGGGCAGGATAAAGGAGAATCCCGAGGCACAGTGGAATAGGGGGACGTGAGGTCGGGTGCGGGGGGGAAGCTCGGTGGGCTAGTTGGGGGAGGAAAACCCAGGGTAGGAGCAGGGGACCGCGGTGGGGCTCTGGCCACCTCAGAAGTCGATTGGGGTCCTGGTGAGAGAGGCCTGTCCTTCTCTGAGTTAGGGACGCGGCGCAGACGATGGCGGCAATGATGGCTGGCAGAGACGTGGGCTCCTCCTGGGCCCCCCAAGGGGTTCAAGGCAGAGAGGCGGGAGGGGGCGTGCCTCCGTAGGACAGGCGTTGGGGCAGGGGGTGTGGCTTGCAGGGACCCAGTGCCCAAGGGTTGGGCCACTGTCACCGCCAGAGCGCGCAGTTCTGCTGCGGCCAGGCAAGGCAGGGCAGTTCCCCAGCCCTTCTGGCACCCGCCCAGCTTCGGGGGCTCGGCCACTCGCCCAACTCCTTGGCTGATTCCACTGCACCCAGTGAAGCGCTAGGGGCCTTGGGCGGAGCTATGGGTGCCACCTCGGCGTGGTGAGGCCCCACCTCCTTCTCTCCGCCCTATCCTCTTCCTTCCCTTCCTCCCTCCTGCCACCGGAAGTGCCGCCTTCATTTTCCCAAGTCAGAACTGGGTTAGACGTTGTAGATCATTTATTACCCCCTCCTCCATTACCTGTGAAGGAACTGAGAGAAGCGAGGCGGCTGCAGCCGCAGTCTTTCCCTTTTTCGTCCTTCCCTTTCTCCTCTCCACACATTTGTTTGCTCCTTTCTCCCCCCGCCCCACCCAGGGTCCAATATTTACATCTCCTTCTCCAAAACACCAGTAACAGATACAAATGGGGTCATTTTATTATAGTCCAGGGGTATCAGCTTTGGGCAGCAGCTGAGGGCAGCTTCACGTAACTCTTCATTGGGGGCAGCGGCCGAATCTTTCGGCCAGCCCAGCCCCCCTTGCGGTGCCATAGCCCGCTGGAAGGCCTCTTGCCCAGCCAGCGGTTCCTCCCAGCCTTGCCAATGACCCGTTTGTTATGATCGACATTGGATACTCGGCCTACTGTTGCAATGCACGTTTCCAGCACCTGACAGAGGAAGCAGATGGAAGAGAATGCACTGTGTGGGGAAAGCTTGATAATGTTGAGGGCAGGAATCTTGGGAAGGTTCTTACACTCAAAGTGAAGGGAAAGGACAGGGGAAAGCACAATATAAGTGAGTCTGAGTGCTGGTCCTACAGGAACTGAAAACAAAAGACACTTTATTATTCCATTATGGTGACAGCCTGACTAAGCATTCCTAGTCACTTCACGCAGCAGAAAAGGACAGACCCAGATTGGGCTAGTTCCTAACAAAACACCTGGAAGCTGTGTGGGCCAGGAATGGTACATTCCCAAAATTCCTCCCTTGTTGATCCTTCCCACTTATACCCACATACACACCTGCATCTGCCTCTTAGAGGGCAGCTGGATGATGGCTGTCCCATTCACCTTCCGTAGCAGCACACCGCATGTCCCTGGGGAAGACAGGAGCAGCTTTGCCACCCTCCACAAAGGGCAGCTTTGCCCTTTAAGAGCTCATACACTGAAGGAGGATGCATGCCATGTTTTAGGTAAAAGCACGAGCACCTCTTCATCCTTGTTTTCCTTGTTTTTTTCTTCTTTTCCTCTGCCAGTGGACCGGATGTGGGCCCATGGATTCACAGTATTGTGACCCTGGCTACCACCTGCCCTTCCAACTTGTAAGACCCCAAGCAGCTCCTTTCTTCATACCTGCAGCTCGGATATACTGGGCCCCCCGGCCTGGCTCACTCTCCACGTTGTTGACCAGGGTCCCCACGGGCAAGGCCCCAAGAGGATGTGCATCGCCTTCCCGAGGAGCAACTAAAAGACAGAACTTCGTCAGCACCAGAACACTTGCAGCCTCCCAGCCCACGCACATCCGGTGACCATTTCTCACCTGCCATTCGGCCTATGTGGTCAGAGTTCAGGATTATATCTCCAGCCTGCATGTTTTCTGTGGCAATGATCCAGCGTTTCCGACTGCCCCCCGCAACCAGAGCTATGTCTGCTGACCTGTTCAGGGTGAGTAACAGGTGAACAGACCATCCAGGCAACCCCACATCTTCTGAAAAGCCACAGAGCAGTCATGCCATCATCACCCCACACCCCAAACTTGCCTACAGGGATCATAGCGGACACGGATAACCTTCTCCTCAAAGGGTCCTGGCTTGGTTTCCTGCTCCGGCCGGAACCGAAGAAAGTCAATCATGCGATAACGTTGCTTATGGCCCCCGCCAATGCCATGCACTTTGATTCGGCCTGTGGTCAGGACAGTGAGGGGATGGAAGCCAGGTCAGATGAACAGGCCTGTCCTTGGCAGAGAGCTGTTTTTCCCAATATTATGACTCAAGCAGAAAATGATACAAAATTTTCACAGCACACACGGGCCTTGGTAAACTCGTAATTATGTGATTATTACAATTGTATAAAACCTCCAGATAAATTCTCTGCAAATTACTAAATTCAGTAAGTTTATTGACGGCCATGTAAACAGTGCTCAAGTTCAACTGTTATAATTTTTCTTTTTTCTTAAATTTATTGGGGTGACATTGGTTAATAAAATTACATAGGTTTCCAGTTAACTGTTATCCGTTTTTTAAAGGAGTGAAGAATGTCATGAAACTTGTTGTATATATTCAGTTTTCGTCTACCGCCATACCACCCTGAATGCGCCTGATCTCGGAAGTGTATGCCCAGTTTTCTGCAATTTTCTAGATTGTCTTTAGGAACACACACCATTTGTCTATTGCTTTGTATTCTATTCTCTCATTCTTATACACATACTATATGTAGAAGGAGTCCAATAAATGTGTTTTAATTATATTCCTCTGCCTGTATCAATACACAAAACTAGGGTCCTAGCATGCTTTTTCTCCTTACATCTGCTTAAATCCTCTTGCCCTTGCTCCCACCTGTGTGGTCTCGGCCCCCAGACTTCCTCATCTTCAATGGTGTAATGGTGTACTTGGTATGACTCTTCCAGGACACAAATTTGGCACGAAGCACCTCAGAGGTAAGGATTGGACGGCAAGGTAGCAACAAGGCAGAGGGAAGCTGGAGGAAGGCATTGCTTGTCACCTAGAGATAAACATAAACCTCTTTCACTTCAAAGCCAATTGAAGGAGAAGAATCACAGAACCAAGGGAGAGGGCAGAGACCAAGTTTAGCTTGTAGCCCACTTCCCCTTGGAAGTATCCCAGACAAGCAGTTTGAAAACTTTACCCTTCATAGTTTGTACAAATTCCAGTGTGGAATGTTTATCCAGCTGTATGTGTGCTGATTACGTCTCCTCATCTGATCAGAGTTGCACCTCTGAAGTATTTCTATTCTATAATGGAACATTCTTCCCTTGATGCGTCTACTAAATCTGGCTCCATTTTCCTTCTCCAGACAACTCTCTTTTCCAGAGCCGTTGACTTCCACACACCCATATACCACCATTAGCACCAATGCCTTGCCAATTTGCATTATGTTTCTGGGAGTGTTTCCAGATCCAAATGAACAGAAGGGATTGTTTCTGTCTTGTTTCCTGCTATACTCCCAGAATTTCAGAGTAGATTTTGAATTTTAAGTATGCATCTGCCAAACTTGACCGTCGGCCGGAGAGGTCCAGAGCAAGACTTCCAACTTTTTTTTTCTGTGACTCAAGAATCGCCCGCTAGGGACGTTGTGATACCTTCACTTTAGGCTCCTATGCTTGGTATCTTGCCACGTATTTTCTAATGTCAGCATTCTTAGCGGTTATCATAATGGTATCAAAGCTCAGGCTTTGAAACCAGACCGCCTAGCTCAAGTAGTTGGTGTATGACCTTGGATTGTTTATCAGTTTTCTCATATGAAAATGGGAATGTTAATATAAGGTATAATTACCTTATAGAGTAGTTGAAAAGAGTTCTCTTATTTAACACCTCTGTTACTGATCCCTAGCTTATGATAGGCTCCCAGTGTCATTATTGAAACCTGTACCTCCAGTATTTCGTCTGAGGAATCCAGCGGCCCGGAGAGATGGCAACACTTATAGAGGAGAAAGCTGAGGATTAGAGTAACTCATCCAAGGCCACGGGCCAGCGTGACTACTGACCAGACTCATATCCCTGCCTCCCATCCCTGGGGGGTCCCCTCTCCGGCGGCCCGAACGGAAACAGACTCATTTCCGGGTGAGGTGGCCTACCTGGGCGGCCGGGAGGAGGCTGGGGCCGAGGGCGGCGGCTGCTGTGGGCGCCAGGCTCAGAGAGCCCAGAGCACTGGTCAGTGCACGCAGGGCCATGAGAATGCCCACGCTCCTCCGGGCTCAGCACACCACCATTACCTTTGCCCAGCAGCCTGGCGCTCAAGAATGATGCTAATGACTCCCCGTGCCGTCGCTTCTTCATGACGTAAAAGAGGCGGAGGGAGAACTAGAGAGCCAGATGTGTACACACCTCCTTTTCTGCTTGCGCGTGGTCAGAACCAATCCTCTGGAGGTTCTTAGGTCGCGTGACTGCGGAGCAGGCCTCCGCCCCTCGGAGCCGTCAAAACAATTGCCTCCAGCGGCAGCCATGATGTATTTAAAGGGGCAGTACCGGCCAGGGCAGCAGCCAGGTCGACAGAGAGCGGGTGAGTCTGAGATACCCCTGGGGCTGAGGGTTCAGGTCCCGCTACTTCTTATTCCCGCACTCCTGGACAGATGAACCTCAGATGAACCCCGCACAGTGCATTCCTCGCCGACAGACCTCACACAACTCCAGATGGACTAAAAACTCCGCCCCCCGCTATTCTTCCCGCCCCTCGGTGTCCCGAGACTGTCGGCTTGTCCCGCCCCCTGCGCTACTAACTGTCTCAGTGACCTCGGGGTTGTGGGGCTGCTGAGTCTTCACCCGTGACTCGTACTTCGGTCGTCCACCTGTACCTCCCCCCGCGTCGTCCCCGCCCATCTCTAGCCTCACCTTGGGCCGCAGGGCAAGTCGACCGCCCGGGGCACTCCTCAACTGCATTCCAAGGCCGGGGAGAATACCTCCCAGCGCCGCGTTTCCCTGTGACCCTGCAGCCGCTCAGCAGACCTGCCATTCTTTCCTGCATCATCAGGCGTCTGGGAGGCACCCTAAGCTGATTCTCTCAGGTCCTGTTAGTAGGTGATCATAGCAGAGACAAAGCCATGGAAGTGATTGAGCCAGGAATGACCAGGTCTTCCTCCTTATTCTTAGCCAGGCACGCCCCTTGCCGAAGGTCCCAGATCAAGTCTCACTCCCTTCTTGGGAGAAAATAGCTCCCTAGGCTTGGGGTGAGAGGTTGGCTTGGAGAAGGAGGGCAGACACTGGTTGTCTTTGAAGACTTGTGGGCAGGGGGAGGGAGGGTGTTTATCTTGGGTGGGGCTCTGTGCCAGGTCCTCTGGGTGTCTGTGAAGTGGTGAGAGAAGGGGTGGGAACGCTGGACTTATGGACTTTGGGCAGGGCAGCTCCTTCTGAGTCCCTGGCTGTTGAACAGTTTCTTCCCGGCTCTGGCCTGAGTGCCACAGCCAAGGGCTGTGCTCTGTAAACAGGTAAGGGGACTTCAAAGACGAGAAACAAGGTCCTTTTGAGGAAGTGGGAAGAGAGCCTGAGACCTGGGGGTGGGGGGGTGAGAAATATGGGTTGAAAGCTAGTGGGGAAAGATGTAGAGCTGACTAGGTTCGGGGGTGGCTGGTCTTAGCTCTGTGGGTGATGCAGCCTGCAGACCTTGAGCCTTTTGGGGCCCTCTCATTTGAGTCCTGCAGTGAAGGCTCCCGTTTGCTTCTTTCTCTTTCCCTGATTTAACTTTGAAACTTATTCCTTCTCCCTTTCCAAAACTTCTGCACCAGTTTCTGCACATCTCCTGTCTGCTTTAAACCTATTCCCTTTGTAACTCTCGCCACCCTCTGTGTTCCTTGCAGTGCTGCCGTCTCTTATCTTCAGATCCCTTTCTTTAAAAAAATTATTTATTTTTAGAGAGAGGAAGGGAGGGAGACAGAGAGGGAGGGAAATATCGATGTGTGGTTGCCTCTAACATGCCTCTAACTGGGGACTTGGCCTGCATCCCAGGCATGCGCTCTGACTGGGAATTGAACTGGTGACCCTTTGGTTTGCAGACCACTCAGACTACTGGGCCACACCAGCCAGGGCTCCTGATTTATTTTTTTTAGATTTTATTTATTTATTTTTAGAGAGAGAGGAAGGAAGGGGGAGAGAGAGAGGGAGAGAAGCGTCAATGTGTGGTTGCCTTTTGCATGCCCCGAACTGGGGACCTGGCCCACAACCCAGGCATGTGCCCTGACTGGGGATCAAACTGGCGACCATTTGGTTTGCAAGCCAGCACTCAATGCACTGAGCCACGTCAGCCAGGGCTACTGATTCCTTTTTTGGAAATGATTTTATTTATTTATTTTACAGAGAGGGGAAGGGAAGGAGAAAGAGAGGGTGAGAAACATCTCTGTGTTGCTTCTCATACATGCTCCAACCTGGGAAGAACCTACAACCCAGGCATGTGCCCTGAACGGGAATGTAGCCTTCACTTTGCAGGATGATGCCCATCCAACTGCGACACACTGGTCAGGGCTCTCCTGATTTCTTTTCCTAACCCAAACTCTCCAATTCCTTTTCTGTTATGGTCCTAAGTTCTAAATTTCTCTGCTAGTCCTCGGGACCTTTGTTACTTCGCTATTCTTTTTTTAAGATTTTATTTATTTATTTTCAGAGAGAGGGGAAGGGAAGGAGAATGAGAGGGAGAGACACCTTGATGAACAAGAGAAACATCCATTAGTTGCCTCTTGCATGCCCCCAGCTGGGGACCTGGCCTGCAACCCAGGCATGTGCCTTGACCTGGAATCTAACCGACAACCTTTCAGTTCGCAGGCTGGTGCTCAGTCCACTGATCCACACCAGCCAGGGCTCTATTCTTTTTTTCATTTAGTTCATTTCCTATTCTCTCTTTCCCACAATCTTAGGCTTTGTGTTTTTAGTGTTGCAGGATCCCTCCCCACGAGTCACTGTAATTAAACCAAAGGGTTGCCCGTACTCTCTCTCATCCTTTAACTTGGATCCCACCACCTTCTAACCTCATCCTCTTTTTCTTTTCTTTACCTCACCTGAGCTCTGTTGTTTCTCCCTAGCCCAGGCAAGGTCTTCCAGGCCAGGATGTCGGGCCTGGTATTGGGGCAGCGAGATGAACCTGCAGGGCACCGGCTCAGCCAGGAGGAGATCCTGGGAAGCACTCGGCTGGTGAGCCAAGGGCTAGAAGCCCTACACAGTGAACACCAGGCTGTACTACAAAGCCTGTCCCACACCATTGAGTGTCTGCAGCAGGGAGGCCATGAAGAAGGGCTGGTGCACGAGAAGGCCCGGCAGCTGCGCCGTTCCATGGAAAACATTGAGCTGGGGCTGAGTGAGGCCCAGGTGAGAGGGAGGAGGTGGTGCTAAGTGGCCCATAGAGGAGCAGTTGTTTGATTAGATGTTTGGGGTCAGTTGGGATCCCCTAATCCTAGATTCTTACGTTCATTCGGTAAATATGCATTAAGCCCCTACTATGTGCCAGGCACTACTCCTCTGGGCACTGGAGACACATCACTGCACACAACACTTGCCATCTTAGAGTTTACATTCTATTTGGGGGAAGCAGACAGTACACAAATAAGTAAATGATTCAGTATGCCAGAGTGATAATCACTAAGAATTAAAAGATAAAAATAAAGCAGGGAAGGGGGGATTAGGAAGTATGGAGGGAACATATGATTTTACATACCGTGGTCAAAAAAGGCTTCACTGAAATGGTGACATTTGAGCAAAGGTTTGAATATCAGGGATTGAGTCACGTAATGAATGGAGGGAGAGCATCCTAAGCAGGGAGGACAGCAAGTGCAAAGGACCTGAACCAGAGTTTTCTCAATGAGTTCAGCGAGGGGCCGTTGTGTTCTTAGCGTGAATGAGGGGATGCAAAATAAAAAATGAAGTTCAAGTAATGGGGTTGGGAAGAGGGAGGCAGACTATGTGGACAGAGGAGAGGAGTGATATGTTCTGACTTACCATTTTAAAGAAGACCATCTGGCTGCTGGGTTGAGAATAGACTCTAAGGGAACAAGAGCAGAAACAGGGAGGCCAGTGAGGAAGCTATTGTAGGAATCCAGGTAGGAACTGATGGCACCTTGGCCCAAGGTGGTGACTATGGAGGTGGTGAGAAATTGGATTCAGGGTGTATTTTGAACCTAGAACCATTGCCCCCTAACCCCACTCCCTGGCCCCTGCTAGTCTTGCCACCTCCCAGTAGGCTTCCCTCCTTCCTATTCCTGAACACTCCTAGCCAGAGTCTGGTGCTCACAGGATGTGCCCACCTAGGTGATGCTGGCTTTGGCCAGTCACCTGAGCACAGTGGAGTCGGAGAAACAGAAGCTACGGGCTCAGGTACGGCGGCTGTGCCAGGAGAACCAGTGGCTCCGGGATGAACTGGCGGGTACTCAGCAGCGGCTACAGCGTAGTGAGCAGGCTGTGGCTCAGCTGGAGGAGGAAAAGAAGCACCTGGAGTTCCTGGGGCAGCTGCGGCAGTATGACGAGGATGGGCACGCCACGGTGAGCATTACAGGCGAGGCTGGGGGCGGGTGGGGGGGTGGATCACTGGGAGTCATCGCAAACGTGGGGCAATTGCTCCATCATCTGCAGGGGACAGCAGCGCTGCCCAGCCCGCCCCACGTAACAGAATTCAGTTCCTGACCCCAACTCCAGATGACAGCAATGGAGAAAGAATATTCACTCATTCAATCACCATTAATTAAACGACTATTACATATGCCAGGCACTGTACACTCCACTGGGGATGCAACAGTGAACGAGGCAGACAGAGTTCCTGCTCTCACAATCAGAGGTTTGCATGGGGGAGACAGATAAGCCCTACAATTGCAATCCAGAATCCTAAGTGCTAGAATTAGGGAAAGCATAACCCAGTTGAATAAGACCCTCCTAAAATTTGTAAATTAACCAAAATCAAAATGTGTAAAATTAACCCTCACTCAACAGGCATTTGTATGCCTTCAGCAGTTCAAAAAGATGTGTATAGAGGACATGTAAAGAACTATAAAGAGAGTTCCCTGCTCTTTTTGAGTTTATAGTGTGACTGTAAGGACAAGACTTTCACATGGGAACACATGTGTGACTATGCAAAGTGCAAGTGCTCAGTGCTGGGTGAGCAGTTCAGTCAGTGTGGGAGGAATTCCAAGGAGATAGGTTCCTGGAGACTGGAATGGTCTGAGAAGGAGTCATAGAGGAGGCAGGGTACCGGGATGGTAAGATTTAGATTGGATTTTTTTAAAAAATTAAAAGGTTAGGAGTTGGGATGAAGTTTGATGGATGTTGAGGGAGAATGAGGGGCTTTCTAAACTGGGGGATGGGGGATGTCACTGATGAGGCTGCAGGGCTGGAAAGCTGGTCTATTCTAGGGAAAGTGGGACGAAGTGCATGGGACACATTGGCAAAGCTGGGCAGGAGGGTTGGAGGTGTTTGGACAGGGCCGCAATGCCTTGTGGACAGAGCGAATTTGCCCAGTGTGGCAGTAGGTTAGACAGGGAGGTTTGGGCACTAAGTCCAGTGTGCGCTATGGCAAATGATAGGCACAAGGCTGAGGTAGACACGTTGGGTACGTGTCAGTAAGATCAGACACACTCCCTGCCCTCAGGAGAGACAAGACAGACGTATAATCAATGTAAACACACAGGGCTATAATTATAAGAGTTGAAGGGGTGAGAGGTGGAGGCTGGAGAATGAGGGTGCTTAGGAAGGAAACTCTGAAGTGAAGGAAGGGAAAGTTACGAGATTTGCAAACGAGAGGCTTGAGGGTGGCAAGACAAATGCTAGCCTTCCCGGGGGGAAGGGGCATGAACGAGGTTCTTCTCCCAGGCCCTGCCTGTCAGGGATTTCATGGTTCAGAGGGACTCTGAAGAGGTTACTGGGGATGTGTTGGCCCAGATATGCTGTTGCTCTTTTTCCAGGAGGAGAAGGAGGGCGATGCCACCAAGGATTCCCTGGATGACCTCTTCCCCAACGAGGAAGAAGAAGACCCAAGCAATGGCTGTGAGTCTGTCTCTGGAGTGGGAGAGTGAAGAGGGGCAGCAGGAGCCTGGTCCAGTTGTTCCCTAGCCCCCCGCCCCATATGCACGGTGCTGACCACCCAGAAATAAGTTCTCCATTTCCTCTGGAGATGGGGCAGGGCCAGGGCCAGTACTTTGATTTTCTCAGCCTCCCCATTATTTCTTATTCATCAACATTTATTACACACTTAGTATGCGCCAGGCCTGTGCTGGGCACTAGGGACACTGAGGTGAGAACGACAGGGGTCTTTCCAGTAAGGAGTTCATGGTTGAGTGGGAGAGTGACCCTGGAGTGGAAGAACATGAGCTCCTCAAGGGAAAGGACCAGGTTTTTCTTATCTTTGTATCTCTGGCACAGCCCCTGGCTCATGCTTATTTAATAAATAGTTGTTGCGTGAATGACTTACTGGATGAACAAATGGGTGATGGGCACAAGTTCAAGAGCGGGCAAAAGCACAGCAGTTGAGACAGGTCTAGAGGGAGAGCCTAGTGGGGGCAGGTGCAGGCATGGAAGAAGACATGGAGTGTGGGTGGGGAGCGCAGGCAGCAAAGGGGAGAGGAGGAGTCCCCTCAGGAAGTCTCCTGTTCATTTTCTGGGATGGCTTAGTGTCCCGTGGCCAGGGCACCCAGCATAGTGGATATGAGATCCCGGCGAGATTGCGGACTCTACACAACTTGGTGATCCAGTATGCAGCCCAGGGTCGCTATGAGGTAGCTGTGCCCCTCTGTAAGCAGGCACTGGAGGACCTGGAGCGCACATCTGGCCGTGGTCACCCAGATGTTGCGACCATGCTCAACATCCTTGCTTTGGTGTATCGGTGAGTACCGCCCTCTTCCCAGCCAGAAATCTGCCTCCAGATTCCTACCTTGATCCATCTTTGGCTCTCATTTCCTCTCTCCACTGGGTGCCTCTTCTCCCTGCTGGGTCTTCCTGGCGCGCGCCTCATGGGGGTCTTCTCCTGTCCCAGAACTCTTGTTCTTTTCCTCAGAGCCCTTGACCTCAGAGAATACTCATCTCTCAGACTCTTTGCTTTTTCCTTCTTTTTTCTGGGGAGGGTCTCCTTCTCTTTCTTTTCCTGTCTCTTCTGTCCAATAACTTGCGGCCCCCTCTCGGCATGGCACAGGTTTGCGTCCAGTATGACGGTGCTGGTGAACCCCTCTCACCGCTCATGCACCCCGGGCTTTGTGCCGCTCATGGTGGGCCCGACGCCCAGATGTACCGCAGTCGTCCCAAAGGAAACAGGGGCGGAGATGGCTTGGGGGCAGAGTTCAGGTTAGCCCCTTGACACTTTTGTCTTCTTTCAGGGACCAGAATAAGTATAAGGAAGCTGCCCACCTGCTGAATGACGCCCTCAGCATCCGGGAGAGCACCCTAGGCCCAGACCACCCTGCTGTCAGTATCCTCTCTCTCCTTCGCTCATGCTCTTTTGGCCTCTCCTAGCTCATCGTCCGCTGCCCTCAGCCCAGTCACTGGGGATGCTCAGGAAGGAGGCGTGAGGACTCCTTTCTGCTAGGCCCTGTCTCCTGATTCCATCAGTTCCCAACTCTGAGAGCCAAATAACTCCTTCTTATAATGAATATTTTCCTAAACTTAGTTCATAGATAATGTAATCCACCTACATAAATAATTTCCAAAACATTGAATGATACTGTATTACTATAAAAGGGAAACAAAAAATGCAACTTATAATAAAATGATATACACAATACATTACAATGAAAAAGATGCAATATAATAGTTGTGGTAGTGAATATAACTATGCTAGAAGACGTAATAAAGTAGTCTCATATATAATGAATAACTGTAGATTTAGAAGGAGTAAGATCAGGAAACCATTCTTTTTATTTTTTTTAAATTTATTTTAGAGAGAAGGAAAGGAAGGGAGAAAGAGAGGAAGAGAAACATCTATATGCAAGAGATACATAGATCGGTTGCCTCTCACATGCCCCAACCTGGGGACCTGGCCTGCAGCCCAGGCATGTGCCCTGACCAGGAATCAAACCAGTGACCTCTCGGTTCACAGGCCAGCACTCAGTCCACTGAGCCCCACCAGCCAGGGCAAGGAAACCACTCTATATAGGAAGGGCTAAAAAAAATGACAGAGCAGAAGGATTGGTGATATGAGTTTAAAATCCCGTGTCAGAATAAGTAACAGCAGGCCAGATTTATTTGGATATGATAGAGAAATCCTTACTTAAGGATAGCATGCTAAGATAAATAATAGGTTGTCAAAGTGGAAAAAATGAGAAATAAGATATTTCTGAAAATGAGCTAACTGTGTGAAAATAATTCCCTGTTATGACATGTGATAGGCAGGGATGATGTATCTCAGAAAACATAACCTCTGTCTTGATACCCCATTAAGTGTCAAAACTTATACTCAGTGTTTAAATGTCGCACCGACATTGAAAAGTTGGCACAGCTTATCCCACACATACAGAACGTCTGTAGCTCCCTTGCCTCCCCAAAGGTAGTAGTGTTCCCAATTTTCATGGCAACCAAAACAAAACAAAACACACCTTTCCAAATATCTACAAATGCCCCTAGAGGGCGATACCACCCCCACGGAGAAGCTCAGAGCCATCCAGTTCAGGAATTTCCCCTGCCCCGACTCGACTCTGGCTTGGGTGGCAGAGTCCATTTCTCTTGGGGTTGTGCAGCGTAGGGGAGAACCTCCAATTCTCAAGGTCCTTGAAAGCACCAGTGTCTGAGGGGACAGGCCTGTCTTCCTAGGTGGCTGCCACACTCAACAACCTGGCTGTGCTCTATGGCAAAAGGGGCAAATACAAGGAGGCAGAGCCGCTGTGCCAGCGGGCACTGGAGATCCGAGAAAAGGTGCCCACATCCTGTCCTCATTCTTCCCTGCTGCTGTGACCTCTCTCCCACCATCTCTCTTCTGGTCTGCCCTCTTGCCTCACTTCTTTGTTTCTTGCCTCCCTCTCTCTGCCTTGTTTCCTCTTCCGTCATTCCCTTTCCCTTATTCTGGGCAGGTACACATGCATGCACATGCGCGTGTGCCTATGTGTACACACATAATTACAGTCACCTATCGCTCCTTTGCTTCCTTTCAGGTCCTGGGCACCAACCACCCAGATGTGGCAAAGCAGCTGAACAACCTGGCCCTGTTGTGCCAAAACCAGGGCAAGTACGAGGCTGTGGAACGCTATTACCGGAGGGCACTAGCCATCTATGAGGGTCAACTGGGGCCCGACAACCCTAATGTAGCCCGGACCAAGAACAACCTGGTAAGGGAGGAAGAGGCGAGGTGGGCAGAAGGAGGGGAAGGGACAGCATTACAACCTGGTACACTAACCCCATCGCCTTTATGCCTGTCCCCGAGGCTGCCTTTGGGGCTGAGGGATCGGCTTCATTCCAGTGGGAGGGCAGGAGTTCCCTAACCCCTTGGGAGTGGAGTGGGAACACTCTTGACCCTGCAGCTAGAAAAGGAGGTGTGAGGAGGATCTCTGAGGAAAGTTCTAAAGAGACCAAGAAGTGAGCCTGGCTGAGATCTTGTCTCCATCTCTTGCTCCTGCGTTTTTGCCTTCCTGCCCCTAGGCTTCCTGTTACCTGAAACAGGGCAAATATGCTGAAGCTGAGACGCTCTACAAAGAGATACTGACCCGCGCCCATGTGCAGGAGTTTGGGTCTGTGGATGGTGAGTGGTGAGGACTTGGGAAGGGACCTGTAGGGAGGAAAAGAAACTCAGAACAAACGTGAGGGGGGGGGGGCGGTGGTTAGGCTATAGTGATTCCCAGGGGAGCCAGACTCCTTTAGTCCAGCCCTGTGGGCCTTGGAGTCCTGGCTCCCCGCACGAAGTCCAGCTCAGTTCTCTAACCTTGCCACCCCACGCCATGATTTACCCCCAGATGACCACAAGCCCATCTGGATGCATGCAGAGGAGCGGGAGGAGATGAGCAGAGTGAGTGGGGGAGCCCAGCCTGGGGAGCCCAAGGCGACCAGGGCTCCTATCTTACTCCTTACACTAGCCCAGTTCTTCACTTCCCAACTCAGCACCAGCCCCAGGTGCACGGTGCCTCCCCCAGCCCAGCCCGCATCCTAGCCCAGCTCTGGCTTGCACGCCAACATCTCTGTACTCACATCTCCTGTTCTCCCCACTTCTGTCCTGCAGGCCCGGCACCGTGAAGGCAGCACACCCTACGCTGAGTATGGAGGCTGGTACAAGGCCTGCAAAGTGAGCAGGTAAGCTGCAGTGAGAAGGTGGCTTGGCCTCCGATGCCCTCCATCAAGCCCTGGTCCTGGCCTCCTGGACCTTTCCCATTCTTCCCTTTGACCCTTCCTTGGCCTTAGCTCTGTTCCCTCCCTCTCATGTTTGTGTTTTGAACCCATCTTGACTTCCTTTCCTGGTCTCACCAACCCCCGCACCAGCCCCACAGTGAACACCACTCTGAGAAACCTAGGAGCTCTGTACAGGCGCCAGGGAAAGTTGGAGGCAGCTGAGACCCTGGAGGAATGTGCCCTGCGCTCACGGAAACAGGTTGGAGACCAGGAGGGGAAGGGTGTCCGGAAGGTAGGGCGTTAGGGACAGGGGGCCACTGAGGTTTCTTCTGAGTCTTGAAAAATAAGAGGAGGGACTGAGGGGGGAGACCTAGGGAGGAAGGTGAGACGTCATTGTGGTTGTGGTTGTGGTTGTGGTTGCTTTAAGTGTGTTCTTAACCCCCACCTGTCCTTTGTAGTCAGGACTCCAAGTTCAAGTTTCACTTCACTAAATGGGGTTATTAAAAGGGAAGCCCTGCCCTTTCACAGTCTGAAGAAGCTCTTAAGGAGGGGCAAGCGTGGTGTGGATGAGGGGGTCGATGGCTGAGGGGAGCCCAATGTCAGAGTTTCTCAAATTGCAGGTGTTAGCTCTTTAGTAGGTCATGCAATCAATTCAGTGTGGGCCATGGCTAAAATACATATATGCATCTATATGTAGGAACATACTGCAAATAGAAAAGATGAGTATTGTTCTACTTTGTGTGCCCTGCGATATCACAAGGAAAAATGGCTTCCTTCCTGTGGCTGGTGGTGATAAAAGATTTGAAAGCCCCATCCTGAGGAGTTAAGGAGTGGGAAGTCCCAGGTCTTTCCTTTTCCTTTCAGGGCACTGACCCTATCAGCCAGACCAAGGTGGTTGAGCTGCTTGGGGACGGTGACAGTGGAAGGACCTCCCAGGAGGGTCCTGGGAGCAGCGTGAAATTTGAGGGAGGTGAAGATGCTTCTGTGGCTGTGGAGTGGTCAGGGGTAAGTCTGACTGTTGCCCCTTGATCTCTCCTGCCTCCTCCTGCTGGTGGCAGTGAGAGGCTCCGAGGCTGCCCATGAGGGATTTGAGAACATGTCCCCACTCCAGTTCAGTGAGCCCCTCCCTCTCAGAGGTATCTCTGTGAGCCAGCTAGTGTGAGGGCTCTGGTCTTCAGTCAGTGGGCTTTTGGGGGATCGGGGATGTGTAAGGATGAATGGCAGGAGTAGATTGGGTAGCCAGTCTGCATGGGACCCCCTTAGCTTCTGTTTCCCACCTCTCCCCACCAGGATGGTAGTGGGACCCTGCAGAGGAGTGGCTCTCTGGGCAAGATCCGGGATGTGCTTCGTAGAAGCAGTGAACTTCTGGTGAGGAAGCTCCAGGGAACTGAACCTCGGCCCTCCAGGTACACAGTGGGACTGAGACATGGCAAAGCAGACAAGTAAGTCCTGCCTCCAAATCCTCTTGACCCCTCACTGAGGAGAAGTGCCTTGGAGAGAATCATGGAGGGGGTCAATGGGATGGCCGTGGAGAGGGAGTTGAGGAAAAACGGGTGCCCTGGGGTGGGGTAAAGACACCTGAGGAGATGAAGATAAGAGAAAGTGTATGTGTGGGGAAGGGGGATAGTGGGGACGCAGCGACTTGGTTTCGAGTGGGAGGCCCACAGCTTTAGTGACACTTAAGAGAAAGAGGCCTCAATTCTCTCTTTTCCATCGTAGCAGCAACATGAAGCGGGCAGCCTCCCTAAACTATCTGAACCAACCCAGTGTGGCACCCCTTCAGGTGAGAGCAGTGCTGGTGAGCATTGTGGTGGGTGAGAAAGAAAGGACAGCCACGGAGCAAGCCCAGCATGAGTTAGGGAAGCGAGGAGAGTGATCTCGGATGAAGACTGTAGCGAGGGAACTGGAGTTGTCAGACGGAGTCAGGCAGGCAGATTGGCTGCGTTGGTGGTGACTAGGAAGGGACAGTTTCAGGCCAGAGATAGTAGCAAATGAATTAATCAGGAGGACAACAGGAATTAATGTTCTCTAAACTAGTAACTTTGGAATTAGGAATAATTCAAGAAAGATTTGGGGATTCTAATTGCTCTTCTTTATGTAGCTGCCATACACCTTGCCTTGGGGACTCAGTCAGTAGTCAAGAAGGGGAAAAGAAAAAGTATTTAATCACCTTCATTTGAAGAAGCAGTCATGACAGTTTTATGGGAAATGCTCACTTGTGTCAACATATTCAAAGTATATGCCAATATTCATGTGGCTCTTCCAGGTATTTCCCCCACCAGGCTGTGGCCTTCCAGATAATCCTAGCAAAGCCTCAGAGCTGAGGTTGAGGTTACTGGCTCCACCCTCAGTCTAGAGGTTAGACTGCATCCATGAGATGGACAGACTGCAGGGGACAGTCTTCAGGAGGCTGAAGTCCCCGGGCTGATGACATATGTTGTCTGTTTCAGGTCTCCCGAGGCCTCAGTGCCAGCACTATGGACCTCTCTTCAAGGAGCTGACATTCAACCCACCCTCCAGGTCTGCTGGGTTCCTCCACAGCCCTCACAGCATTCCCTATTGCTCCTGCCTCTTCCAGCCCCACGGTGGGACAGTGAAGGGGGAGCAGTTAACAAGATTGCTGCTGCCCTTAGGGTCTCAGCTCCCTCCTCAGGAATCCCCCTCAAGAAGAACCCTCAGGACATCTTCTCCCCACCCTGTAGTCCTCTAGAGTTGCTAGCTCTGAGGCTCCCAGGGTGGGTAAGGAGCAGGTATGCACATCTGAGACGCAGCCTGCTGCTGACTCTTCTGTCATATGGTTTGGTGTTGGCCAAGCAAGATGTCTTGCCCTGGCCTCCCTTGTTCCTTCTGCTGCCTCACTTCAGGTCCGTGTATTTCACTTTTCTTAAATAAAAGAATCAGGTAACCATTCTGCCACTTGAGTACTGCTTGAAGAGGGTAGGAAGCAAGCAAGGGCTTTATGGGGGCCCTACCCAGAAGGGTGAGGGGCTGTGATGGATGCGGCAACAGGAGGGCTGGTTCTTGGCTCTCTCCTCTTCCTTCCCCTGTTTGTATCCTCTCCAGCAGGGCTGCAGGAGGGCATCTGGGGGGTGGGGGAGGAGGCCCACAGCCCAAGAAGGTGCTGTGGACTGGGTTGTCAGGGACATGTGGTGGCCATGTGGCAGGACCCTGGAGTCCTGGCGCCACTGCTCCCGGGGCTGAGGCCCTCTGTGGCTGCCCCTCCTCCTCCCAGCTGCTTGCGGGAAGGGAGGTCTAAGCAGGATCCATCCCCTCTCAGCATATCCTGGAGGCCTGAGCAGCAGCTGGGGCCCATCTTCTAAAGCTTGACTCCTCCTGACCCGCCTCCTACACCCCTTGCTGCTTTCACAACAAAGAAAGAATGTGGGGGTGGTGGCGCTGGGGGTGGGGGGTGCCTGGAACAAGGGCTGTGCTGGGCCTCCCCACAGCTGGAGACTTGGCCATGCCCTGACACAGCCCAGACAGCCTGGAGGTGGACTTGGGATGAATTTGTCAGTTTAACAGACTTCAGCCTGGTGCTCCGAGCCCAGTTCGTTTCTACGTTTGGGTTCAGATTGGTCCAGACCCAGACCAGACCCCAACCACGCACTGGTTCCTCGCTTCTCCGGGCCACATCCCTCCTGGGGCTACACAGGATCTCCAGGTTCCCTAGCTTGCGGGACACCAAAGGCAGCCTTCTGTGCCAGGTCTCCCTCAGGATTTCAGGTTGCAAAGTCCCCTCCCACCCCGATTTGGTCAAGAGTCCTCAGGAAGGCCCAGAACTGACCATCCTCTCCAGGGACCACGGAATCTCAGAAGTCATTTTGGTCCCCCCAAGTCCCTGAAGACTGGGCGGTAGGCATAGCCTACCTTCCTCTACCTCACTCAGGTCAACCACACTCCCCGGGGCCTCCCTCAGTCCCGGATCCATCTCCAGACCCCTCCCCCAACTTCTAGCTCCTCCCCGCGACGGCGGGGAGGGGGCGTCGAGGGGGCGGGGCGCCGCGCGGCGGCCGGCGAGGAGGGGGCGTCGTGGGGCGGGGCTTGGCGGCGGTGGCGGCGGCGGCGGCGGTGGTGGCGGCGGCGCGCGAGTACTCGGAGGTACCGAGCGCGCGCGGCTCCGGCTGGGGACGCCTCGGGCTCCGGCTGCTGCAGCGGTACTCGCGCTCCGGTGCGCTCGGCCTCCTGGGGCCGCCGCGGAGCGCAGTCTGCGCGTCCGCCGTGCGCTCGCGCGCCGCTTTCCCCAAGCCCGCAGTGATGGGAGCTGCGCGGGGAGCCCCGAGCAGACCCCACCGGCTGCCGCTGCTCAGCGTCCTGCTGCTGCCGCTGCTAGGCGGTGAGTCCCGGCGAGCTGGGGGAGCGAAGCTCGGGGAGCGCGGGAGCCCCGCTTGCACAAGGGGTCACCCGGGAAATGGATTTGGGAGGCTGGAGCGGAGAAGACACCCATGAGTGGTGGAGAGGCTGGCTGGGGGAGCGAGGTTCCGGCGGCTGGGAGGTGGCCAAGTCCCCAGCGGACTCGGCCGTTCGGGGACCCTCTGCCACCCACGCCCGCGATCGCGGTCGCTTTTCCAGCCTCTACAGAGTTTTCCCGGCCTGAGCGAGAGTTTTGTTCGGGAGTTGCCGGCGCTCGAGCCCTGGTGGGGAGTTTTTTTTCGGGAGAAAAACGACTACCTCCCCCCCCCCCAGGGGGGGTGCAGTGAAGCGGCTGGCGGTGGGGGAGATGGAGTCCCCTGGGCGGGCTCAGCCAGGTGAGGGAGGCCGGCCTGGAGCCGGATGGTGGACCGACCTGCGGGCACGCTCTAGCTTTGTTACCTACGCCGGCCCGACGCTCCCGGCTTCCCTCTTCCAAGTTCCGGGGCCAAGCTGGGACCCCTGATGGCCGTGCTGGCAAGGGCGGAAGAAGGGAAGAATTAGGGGCGCCCCATCTCTTCTAGCCCCTGGGCCCGAGCCCACTCCTAGCCAGGGTTGAATCTAGGGAGCGGAGTCCCAGGCTGTCGCGGTGACTAATGTGTGAAGGCCGCTGCCAAAATCGGGCATGGCCGGCCTGCAAAGGTGCGGGCGGGGTTGGTTCTGCTTTTTCCTGGCTTTCAATCCTGTGTCCTCACCGAGGAAAGCAAATCTCACTTTTTATGGGCCAGTAAGACAAAAAGAGTTCATTCTGTCTTTTCTTTAAGGGCCTCAGCATTTTGATGAGGGTGTGGCCCATATCTTTAGGATGGACTGGACCCTGACGTCCCCCCTCCCCCTTTCCCGCCTTTATTCCTCTCTTCCTCACACCTGAGAGTCACCACTGAGGTGTTGAATGCCTTACAGGAAAGCACCAAGCTACCAGCAACAGCCTGGACTGGAAATAGTACCCCCCCATCTTTGTCCCTCCAAAAAAACATAAAAATTTTTGGTGATTGTGGCAGCAGTCCTCTCTGGGGAACTCTGTTCAGGGGACTTGGTACCAGCTTATCATTTTCCTCTTTTGAAGAGTGGCCATAGGGAGGGTGAGGGTAGAGAATTGTCTTTTCTGACATCTTTCTGGCCTGCCAGCTGTTGCGTTTTGGTGCTGATGGAATCAACATCTCCCCCACCTCTAGTTGTAAAAGGAGAGATAATTGTAAAAGAAGACCCAGAGGTAAGAACAGGCTCCAGGGATTTGTAGGAGGTGTTTCTGGAGCTGCCCTGTGTTCCTTGTGATGTGTGGGGTGGTTATTGCTCATGGCAGAACCCACATCTGCTCCCAGAGGAAGTATGGAAGTTTTTTTTTTTTTTGTGCAGCCAGGATCAGGGGCCCAGCCATATGGGCCAGCAGCCTGTGTTCACAGGCTTCCTAGGTCGGCCAGCTGTTTGGGTTTCAGTGTGCGGGTCGCCAGATAGGGCTGCCTTCACTGCTGATATTTGAAGTTCTGGAGTCAAGGGGAGATTCTGGTGGAGCCGGGGCTCTTACTCAACAAACACTAAATTCCTTCCAGGAGAAGAGGACTCTAATGTTAATTGATGTTAATCTAGTGACTGGTGTTTAGTGGAGGGGGCTTCTATGGGGGGAAGTTAGGGCAGGCTGAGGGCTTGGGACTGGAGGTCTGGAATCTCCTCTGGGGGTGGGGAGATGTCTCGTGCTCAACAAAGGAACATTTTAATGAGAGCCTTAAATCAGTTCCACCAAATGTGCCTTGGTGTGGAACCTGTCCATGTGCTGTAAACAATTTTGGTCAAGGCTGAGGCGCCTGCTGTCTTCTAGTGAAACCCGGGGACTCAGTCCACCCTGACCGGCATGACTTCAGGGGGCAATGATTTTTAAATAGATTACAATAGATTTTTCCATCTCATTGTTTGAATAATTAACTGGAGTTGTAGTGAGACACCACTGTTAATAAGGTTGGAGTAAGGGACCTAGACCAGCTAGGTTTGTGGATTAGACCATTTCGAAGTTTGGGTAATTATGCTGTTAATGGCCGAGTAACTTTCCAAACTTTGAGATCCCTCTTGTGATTATATGGTAGAGGAGGAAGAGAGACTTGATGTTTGAAACCTGGGATTCTGAGCTCCAGCTGCATGGTCAGTTGTGGTCATTCCCCATCACTGTACCCATCCCCCACCCCATTCTTTCCTCCAGGCTCTTGTTTCTTTGGGGAAATAAAGTTGTCATGTTCTGAGTGAGGCTGTTCCGCAGACTCCTGGGGGCTCTGCAGCCTGTAATTCAGGCTTAGGAGTTGCTTTTATCAGTGATGGACTTTCTTGGATGTTGGGAAGTACCGTGGGAGGGCACGGGTAAGCTCTGCACGTCACAGAGTGACGGAGAGAGCTCAGGCTGCGGAGATGAAGTGTTTGGCCAAACAACAACTCCAGCTCTGACAGGCCCTGTGTCCCTGGGCAAATTTCTTGACCTCACAGTCTGCCTCCTCTGTATAGGGATTTACTTCCTGGAGTCGTGCTGATGATTAAATGTACTGAAGTTTAGAAAGGGCTCCTTTCTTGTTCTTCCTCTCCTGTGGTGTGCTTCCAACATACCTTTCCATGTTTATAGTCATCCCCAACAATAAACATTTTCACCTACTGGAGCCCTCCATTCCAGCCCAACTGGTCTCATTCCCATTGCCTACAACACATGTGGTATCGCAGACCCTTTTTCTCTCTCTCTGTCTAGTCCGCTGTCACGGACAGCCTCCCCATCTCTCTTGCCCAGCTTTATGTCCACTTCCTCCCCCAAACTGTCCTATTTCTCCTGCCAGAAAGTGGATGCTTGTAGAGCTTTTGGACTCTTAGGACATCTTCCATATTTTTGCGTCAGTGGGTTCTAATTTACTGAATGGCTCACCCTGTAGAGTTCAGTACAGTATCTTATTTTAAAAGTTCTTTTATTTATTGATTTTAGAGAGAAACATCGATTTGTTTTTCCACTTAGTTCTGCATTCACTGGTTGATTCTTGTATGTGCCCTGACCAGGGATTAAACCTGCAAACTTTGCGTATCAGGACGATACTCTAACCAACTGAACTATTTGGCCAGGGTCCATCTTTTTTTAATGGGTCTTTAGCTAGCTAGATTTATTAAAAAGGTCAATGAATCTTTTGACTAGAGGGCAGAGTAATCAAGGGCAAAGGTACACAGCCCCTCTGCCTCACAGGCACTGCGGTGGCAGGGGATGTGGGCGGGGTCTTTTGTGCCCTTTCCAGCGTCTCTGGGTTGGGGCAGCCTGTTTCTTTTTGTGCCTGCTCTGCCTTGACCCAATCAAGGGACAAGCTCTTCCTTCCCTGTTTCTGGGCTGTCTGTTTCTTATGGTGCTTGCTGAGTTTTGATGTGGCTTCTGGTTTTCTCCAAGAGTTCCTGGGCTTGGGCAACCACCTCTACATGTGAAGCTGACCTGCCTGGAAAGGCCACAGCTTAAAAACTATGAACTGGGCCTCGATTATCTACAACTTTGCCCCTCAAAATAAGGTCCAAAGACAAGTGGCATCAGCATTCCCTGAATCCCATGAATCAGAATCCCAAACTGCATTTTAACAAGCCCTCCAGCTGACTGTACCCCAGAGTTCCAGAAGTCCAGCTCTAGGCATCTTGCCTTATATAGAAACTCCTGTTGCCACAGGACAAATTATGGGCCCTAGATTTTGTAGAATATTTGGAGACTCACCTCAAATAACTTTTTTTTTCTTTTTAAAGATTTTACTTACTTACTTTTAGAGAGTGGGAAAGGGAGGGAGAAAAAGAGGGAGGGAAACATCAATGTGCAAGAGATACATCGATTGGTTGCCTCTCTCACGCCCCCAGTTGGGGGCCTGACCTCCCACGCAGGGATATGACCTGACTAGGAATCGAATCCGGGACCTTTCGGTTTGCTGGCTGGCACTCAATCCACTGAGGCTCAATCCACCAGTCAGGGCTCAAATAACTTTTAGTTCATGTGTACACTCTTTGATGTGATGTGCGCATTTAAAAAAGACCTCACTTTGGGTTGAATTTGTATTGGATTTTGTCAGGAAGCTTGCCCACTAAATGTGTGACTCCAGAAGGTTTGCAACGTAAATGTGATGTTCTGTTCCTCTTGGAGTCTCAGCTTTTCTCAGAGGAGTGTGTATCTCATTTTATAGTGGAGAAATTGGATCTGTTAGGCAGAAATTTGGTCAGCGGATGACTTTTCAGGAATACATTTGCTTTCTAAAGGGAGGTGACGTCTTCGCTGGGCTTTGATAGTTGTCGTATTGTTAAGTCTCTAGAGTATTTCATATTTTGGAGTGAAGGGGTTTTGTAAGTTTGTGTTTAAGCCAGTGCAGCTTCTGTGAGATTCATCTGGGATGGAGGTTGGCTGGTTCAGACTCTAATTTTTGAGCCAACAGCAGTTTGGGGCCAGGGATTCATTCAGTCTTTGGTGTTTTCCAAATGGAAGAAAGGGTCATTAAACAGGGTTGGGTATCCTTGGCCTGCGTCCCTTGGCCCCCCTCTGCTCTCCTAACCTCAGTAGCACGCCTCTCTGCTGCTGTGCCCCTGGCACTACCCCTGGCAGAGCCACGTGGTGGGGTTACAGGCTCGGGGCCATGGCTGCTGGCGCAGGCTCTAGTCTTGTCCTCCAGCTGCCAGCTTGCCTCTTTCCTCACTTCCTGCTCTGGCCCCCCGCCGCCTGGTCCTTTTTTTTGAGGTTGTGGAAGTTCTGCCATGGTGTCTTGGGGTTCTCTGAGTTCACCGCTGAGCGCACACTTGGCCCTGCCGAGCCCCCTGGCGCTTTGGTGGAGCTGGCGCAGGAGCTGCTACAGCTAATCAGCGGTGAGGAAGCCCTCTGTAGTCTGTCAGTTTTTCCATCCCCTTTCTTCTCTGCATTTAGACCGTTTCGCTCCCAGCAGCAGCGGGGCAGGG